TAATTTGCTGTTTTCTTTTTGTTTTACGTGTCATTTTAAAAAATGTAATTAATTCAAACCTAAATGTGAAAAAAAAAACTAAAAAAAAATTTAATTTATCTAAAATGAAATATTTTCTGAGTATAATAAATTGCGATAATTCGGGTCAGCATCAAATTACTTAATTTTAACCAAAAATATCAACTAATAAAATTATGCGCATGTGATTTGATTCGTTTCAAATTTGGGCCAGTCATATGAAAATCATCTGATTTAAAATGCTTATAACTTTTTACACAGACATTTTTTCGGAAATCTAACTGGTAATTTAATAGTATTCATCATAAAGAACAAAGTTACCAGTTTATTTTTTTAAAATTTTATTTTTTTAAGAAGTTTAAAATTTTTTAAGTGTTACAATTTTATTTTTGAGTTAAGACTTCTGACACCATACTTATTTAAAAAGTGATTAATGAATTTATTGTAATAAAGAATATTTGTATATTATTTCTTTTGATATTATAGAAAGATTATCAATTGTATTATTTAATAATTATATTTTAGAGATCACAAGTAACTGTTAATGATCTTACATATGCCTTTGTCTTTTGGCTGATCAGTCATAATATTTTTCTGATTTTATTGTATTTAAAAGATTTGAAAGTATGTGAATATAAATTTTTATTATGATTGGATTAATGGTTGTAGAATTATAAATATTTTTTATAATTGATTTATTTTACAAAATTTTTTATTTTTATTTTTTTTTTAATCAGTTCAGTAAATTCAAAAAGCAATTTAATTGCCGATTTGGATATGATCAGCAGAATTTTGATATAAAAATTCGGGAAATAATTTTGCTGATTACTAATAAACTTTTCATTGTTACACATTTTTACTCAAATAGTAAGTTGACACAAGTTGCTTTTATATGCACAAAAATCATATAGTCTAATGCAAAAAAGTCAGAGAACACGAAAATGCTATAAAAAAATCATATGTTGATAATATTTTTAATGACTTTACTATGTACGAATGCTGGATTCTGAATAAGACCACAAATTTATATATGAAATTTTTTATAATGAAAGCGGTATAAATTTGTTTATGTGGAAGTTTTAGACGACTCCAGAAGTTAAAACAATATAATTTTCTTGTAAATATTTACTTTTCTTTAGATTTGTGGTAAGTTTCTTTGTGAAATTTGAAGGTTTATTTTTTTTTATCCATTTTTAGAATAGTTCACTTTTTTATCTCATTTTCGTAGTAAGTTTCCTTGTGTATTCAAATTAAAGGCAGAAATATTTTAGTTCAAGGTGAAAAATTGTTTTTTTATTTGTTTTTTTATTCTTTAATAACTGGTTTCTCTTTCTCTTAAACTTCATGGTAGAATTATTTTTTTTGTGAAGTTCAAAAGTGTGATTTTTACTGGCTTTAGGTATTTTACAAGACAGAAATAAAGAAGATCAGATATAAATGAACGCATTGTTTGATTTAGGACGTGTAATACTATATACAACATTAAATTTTTGTGATGAGTTTCTCTTTGTGGGGTTTGAAGAAAGAATTTTTTCTCTATTTTCAGTTATTGATCTTTATCTTTTTATTTATTTTTATTTAGTAAATGTTTGCACTTTTTTTTAGTAAAATTATTCTTTGCGGGATATGGGAATTTTTATTTAATCTAAGGATAGTTTATTTTTTTGTGAGTGAAACTTATTGTTTTTTATTATTTATTCAGTTTATCGTTATTTAGGTTTAGTTGTTATTGATTTTTATTATTTATTATAATCATGTGATGAAATAATTTGAAACATTCTTACATTATATAATTGAAAACAATTCTATCATTAGTGTTGTTTGATCTTTATTATGCTAAATTTTAAAGAAAACAAAAATTTATTATAATAAATGTTTATTTATCAGATGACTCCACTTCTTCAAGAAGTCATAATGCCATAATTTTTTTGAATGACTGTGAAGTGCTTGTTATCTAATTTGCAATTGTGGGAATTTTTGGCATATTATCTTTAGAAATTTCTCTATCAGCTATCCTTTTCAAAAGTTCCTTATGCATCTCACTAACATTCATTTTCAGCCTAGGATTAGCTGTACTGGTATGAAACATTATAGTAAGTAATTCCTTGACACATTCTGTAATTCGTTTAGTTGGACCTTTTTAATTTACTTTTAATTTTTCTGTTAGAACCCATCTGCAAACAAATACAATAGCGCTAAAAATAGCAAAAGATCATGAATTTAGTTATGATAAAATTTCAAATACAATATCAATGCGAATTTACCTTTATGATGTTAGATTATTCTTTTCTTTGATTTGTTCTCCTCCATACATTTTCTAACATTTTTTTTTTATCAAATATTCTGACCAAATAGAACATTGTATATATTATATTATTTTTACCTCAAAATTTATTTGATCTGCCTGAGAATTTTCTTTGTAATCTACAAAATACCATTAGTTACTAAAACAAATAATTACAAATAATTACCAGTTTATATATTATTTTGAAAAACAACCTTTTTGTGATGCCAATGAAATGATCTATGATTTTGAAGGTTGTGTATGTATTGTATAACTTGTATTTGGCTTTTCAAAGTTATGTGTTTTTGTAATTTTATCAATTTGACCAGACGCGATTTTATTCCACTTACTAAACTCTGGTAATACACGTACACATATATATCCAGCATCCTTTCCAGTCTCAGGCTAAGTAAATTCATGCCAGTTTGATATTCCATTAATCGTTCCTAACTTCCCCTTTTCTATTCAAATGATTATATTATTCTTTTTTTTTATAAAAAAAATAATAAATAAAATAAAAATATTTACCTTTATTACGATTTAGTTCAAGATGAGATACATAAGTACCTGAAAGACCCTTTATAGCATTTTCAATATCTTCTCCTTCATCTAATTCATGTCTAACTTTTACCCATCTTTTTATTGCATGCGAAATCTATAACAATAATAATACAATACATAAATTATTAGTAATATCTAAAAAAAATGCAATATTAATTTATACTTGAGCGTGATGAGAATCTATGGTGGTTTTTGCTTCTCCCGCTTCTAAAAATAAAAATCTACGAGGATTAATATTATACCATTCCTTCCAATGGCCCATAATAATCATTAATTCTGTGTTATGATAATATCCACCATTATCTGATACAATCGTGATCCATTTTGGTTTTTGTTTTAAAATTTCTATTACAGTATGTAATAAGGATGCAGTGAACTATGTGTTCTGATGAGTATCTCCAGACCAGTGGTCAAAAGCTTGTACATCTAAGTCATTATTTCCAATATTTTTTATATATACAAGAACAAAATGAAGTGTTTACCCCTTTTCCAAACCACTCATTTTTTGTTTCATGGGCTTTTTTTGGGAGAATCTTCATTTTGTAATCTACTATTATTAATACTCTATCTGAATCAAGCTGAGAAAGTTGAGCATTAAACTGTACATTAAGATAAGATTTGCGAGCATGATGTGCCATAAAATTAATCAATTGATTTTGATAATTTGATAATGTTTCCTGCTTTTCCTCTTCAAGATTTT